GAAGTCAAGAGACAATTCAAGCCTCGAAGTCCAGAAAAGAAGATTCCTATAGACCCCAGTGTCAGGAACTTCTTCAGGGGTATGTCTGCATCTGTCAAGGAGGCCATCAAGCTATCGGACTATGAGCGAACGCTGAAGAAAGCATCTTCTGGAAAGTCCAAACCAGTCCCTCAGCTTGGAGAGCAACCAAACCAGGAGATCGAGCCGTTGGTGACCGGTAAAGAAATGACGATAGAACAATTTATTACTGACACCGGTCTAACTACGGATCAATTGCTAGGAGTCGCACCAATCGAAAAGGCGGAAGTGAAATACATGTACGAACTCGGTAAACCGCTTGTCAAGCCTGAGCTGCTGCAGTCCCTACCCACACAAATGTACAAGTTCCATCAGCTGTACATGGAGATGAGCGCCACCGGTAGAGAGATGATCGGAGCGAGGATCAGGGACACGGACTTCTTGCAAGGAGATGACATTCTCTGGATCAATTTCAGGGGAATCTACGAACTATACCAGCTGGACGCCCTCGACGTCTCTATTATGAGTTGCTGGATTTTGTAAGTATATCGTTCAGTTAGATTTCTTACTATACGTCTCCTTTAATTAATTAGGTCCTTGTATATAAGTAGACTATAGAAAATAATATACTCCCTTTTATCGTTGTAGAATGGAGATTCAAAGGGCCTGACGGCGGAGGGTTTTCGATACTGGATTCATCGACCCTCGGAAAGTAAACGTCGCAATGCTCGACCAATATCCACAAGAAACAGAGGACAATCTCGTCCATCTCCTGAAGGCGCAGCATTACAAGACGTTCATACTGTTGCCGTACAACACAGAGTTAGTTTAATTTTACTGTCTTCCTACATACCAAATTTCATTCCCGTACGAACTTGCTAAGTGTTTCATATGTAATGCATCCCACGCACATTGCAGATTCCACTGGGTGCTTTTACTCTTCGACCTGGAGGCCTGCACCGTCAACGTATATGACTCAATGGATAAAAAAGAGTCTACGTTTGACAAGGTTTTCGAACTTATAGACAGGTACCGTCATAAGTTCCTTTGTTAATTAAGAAAATCTTGTTATGTTAATTGCTACTACGAATCATAGCTTTAAACTCCATGTAGGGCTTGGTATCGGTTCCGTCATTTGGTCCGCGGCAAATGGAGAGAAAGACTTAGGCGGAAGTTCAAATTTCCTGTGAGTACACATGCTCTACATTTATATTTCTCCGATTCAAATACATACAAGTGTATATTAATTAGATCTCTCGTTGTTTGTCATTTATTTGTAGTGCGCAAAGCAAAAGCAGGGAACTAACTTGTGCGGCTATTACGTGTGCGAGTATTGCCACTGCCTTGCAGAACAAATCATCACCACAAGAGAGCTCGATGTACGTACAAATAAATTCAAAATTTCATTACGTAGCGATTTCTTGTTTAATTACTAATCAATTTCATACATTCATATAGTTTATTCGCATGAGGGATAACCTGACCATACACAAGGAATTTATCGTGGCGGTTCAAGAACAACTCATGGGATTCATCAACGAAGAAATCCTTGATCCCAAGGGTGAATTCTACTACGACGGAAAAACAATTCACCGGTCCTTAGCTTCTGAGCTAGCAGCGACTACTACTACGTAGAAATCGTAGCTAGCTAGGACATATAATGGATTGTAATTAATACATGACTACATATGTTTCTATATGCATGTGTACACATTTTCTATAATGTAAATATATTTTGGTCATATATATATCTATATACATATGCATTTGCATAACATATATATGTATAAATACATATATATTATGCATGTATATACATATAATATAATATAATATATATATATACATATATATATGTATGCATATATATGTTTCAATACATATGTAGAATTCCCGGTTGGTGTTACCAACCGGGACTAAAGATCGAGCTGACCTTTTTTTTTGCATGGCCCTGTTGCTGCATGGAGAAACCATTTTTGCTTGGTTACTCAAAAAACCACATTAGCCCTAGTTAGAATAGGAACCAGGACTAAAAAATATCTTTACTCCCGATTCAAAAGCCCAGGGGTACTTTTTGATCTTTTATCCTGGTTGGTAACAACAATCGGGAACCGGGATGAAAGATCATTTTTAGTATTGGTTCAATAACCGTCAGACCATGTCACACGGTCAACGAACTTTACTCCCGGTTGGGTGATACCAACCGGGACTAAATATCTCTCTCCCACATCTTGGGCATCTCTTGCTCTCTCTCCCTCTTCCTTTATCTACACGAGCGCCACCCGTGCACACGCCGCTCCTCCTTATCCCCTCTCCTCCTCCACTCCTTCTTGAGATCTCCTTCTCCTCCTCCTCCGATTCCCTCATCCCCTTCTGCTTTTCCTCTACGTCACGGAGGTCGGCGCCTGGCGGTGGCAGGCGACGGAGGCCGGCGCGGCCGTCGCGCGGGGAGTGCGGTGGCGTTTCCATTCACATGGCACTACTATCTTTGTCCCAGTTGGTGTTGATGCTTTTTTGGTCCCGATTATTTCTACTGGGACTTAAGATAGTGATGTTTAGTCCCGGATTCGTAGTCCTGGTATGCAACCCAGGACTAATTGGGGTTGCAAACTGGGACTACAAACTACTTCTCTACCAGTGTATATTGTCTGAGTTAGGTTAGATCTATCAAGATTGTAGTTAATAAATTTAGACGCTAACGATTATTATTTAAACTGTTATTGCATATATTAGTTTATTTTAGGAATAATGATAACTGATTGCAATAAGGTTAGGATGTTGTCACACCCTGAAGTTGTTCTCCTAAGCCTAAAATAATTTAATAAATTGTTGCAAGAAAATCAATTGTTTAATGGCAAGAGTGAAACTCTAAAGTAATAAATGCAAATAATAATAAAAAATGGCATGTGGAATATTTCTTGAGTTCTACATGTCAAAATAGGCTAACATGATTTTTAATGGAATTTTCAAAACCTTGGAGATAATTCTAATCTATACCTATACTAATTGGACACTTTCTACGAGCTCCCACGTTAATCAGAGAATTTTGACCGTTGGTTAAATAAGTGATTTAATCTAAACCGTAGATTTTTCACGTGATCTGCCTTTATTAGTTTTAGTTATATGTGGGCTTGGATTAATAGCTGCGTCTAAAAACTGTTTTGTGGGCCGGGTTCTATCAAAATCTACGTAACTATACAAGCACATTTACTAGATTTTAGGCAGATAAGACTGAGACCTTATCTTCAACGAAGCAGGAGAAGCATTGGTCGACCTTATCTTCAACGCGCCGCATCCAGCTCTCCGTCTCTCCGTTCGCGGGATAGTCGGCGAGCGCGAGTTGGAGATCATCGGTTCTCGCGGCGATGACTTTTATCAACGAGCGAACCGTCTCCGACTGGAACTCTGGTGCTTCTCTTCCCTAATCTAAATCAGTTTCTCATATTTAACAATACCGATCTAGACTCCGATTTGAACTCCAGATAGGGTGCTTCTTTTCGTTAATCAAATTTGATTTCTGATGTGCAACGATACGATCCGTACAAGACTCAGTTTCGCCATCGTTAATAATCCTATAAATTTCAGGGATCAGTATGTTTGTTCCACAGTTCATCCGTTTTCCCAACTATCGCATATTTGTCGTTGCGTTGGCAAAAAGGAGCATACTTGCATCCGTCTCCGCCGCATCTGTAATACACAAAGGTATTTCATCGAAACTGGGACTCGATTTGTGATTTTGATTTTAATAAAGAATTATTTGCTGATCTTTTGCCTGTTGAATGGACTGTTTGCTATTCTGACGAACATATTCTACTGCTATGTTACCGATTGTGATTTTGACAATGAATCGAGTTATCTAATTGTACTAGAAGTTAAAATTTACTGGTAATTTTCTGAATAGCGCAATAATAGACCAAAGACACTATCACTATTGCTGTTGAGCTATATTAACAAACTACTAGGTTAAAAGCCTAATAAAGAAAGCGCACTTCTGACTTTTGAGGTTGTGTTTAATGGTAGAAGAAGCAGATAAAATATATTTGGATTATGATCCTTATATCACCTTTTTCCTAATAAGTAGTTTAATTAATAGATGGTCCCATAGACAGATATTATATAGTAGCCTAATTGAGAGTTTTTTTTTCATCAAAACCGAAAATATTCATTTTTTTATATTCATTTGCTTAAACCGTTGTCGTCATATCAACTTTTGCTGATTATAGACTCACTTACTACATGGTCCCATTGACATATAAATTGGTTGCCTGATTCAAAATTATTTTTCCTTTTATCAAAACTGAAGGATAACTACAATGGCATGTGATATGCTTCAAGCTGTTAACAATGAAAAGGAAACATGGAAAGCTGTTAACAATGGGTAATTAGACTTTGGGTTGCCATAAATCCTAACAGCAACGAGCTTATTAGCCTTGACATGATACTGATTGATGAAGAGGTTAGCATAACTGTTCTTCTCACAAATAATGTTGATATTTACATTTGCCTTCTCACTTATATTATTTATTGAATGACACCATGATGCATGCTACTGTAAAGAAATTTCAGGTCAATAGGTTCAGGGCATTCAAGAAGGATCAGTGTCCATGATATCTAATTTCAAGGTTTCTTCAGTAGCAGAATATCGTCCAGTTCACAATGACAAAATTCTCAACTTCTCAAAACACTGCCAAAGTTCAGGAGATCAAAACCCTAGAAAACAAACCAAAACTAGAACAAACCTTTAGATTTTCAACCATTGAGAGTCTTTCCAAAAGAGTATACAGCAAAACATATTTATCTGGTAATATGTTGTTTAGTTACATTATTTACTAGCATCCAAATTAATTAACACATACATAACCTTCACCGTTTCATTTTGCAGATGTTGTTGGCTTAGCATCTTACATAGGACAAATCGAAGAAACACAAACAAGTTGTTGGATAAGCAAGATCCGTGACATTATGCTTCGAATTGAGTAAGTTCAATTAAATTTAATTAATCTATGTATGCATTGGATACAATCTATCTATCTATCTATCTATCTATACCTATACTAATTGGGCACTTTCTACGAACTCTCACGTTAATCAGAAAGATCTGGCCATTGATTAAATCACTTTCTACGAACTCTCACGTTAATCAGAAAGATCTGGCCATCTATACCTATACTAATTGGGCACTTTCTACGAACTCTCACGTTAATCAGAAAGATCTGGCCATTGATTAAATCACTTTCTACGAACTCTCACGTTAATCAGAAAGATCTGGCCATTGATTAAATAAATGATATTATCATCCCTGTAGATTGTAAATTCCATGTGTGTTTAACTTTGTGGGCCACGTGTAAATTAAACCAATCTAACACCACCTCACGAAGGAACAGATAAGAGAGGATATGCGAGAGGCAATAATATTTCTGTTGCTGTTGAGCGTTAAGTACATGATTAGATCTATCTATAATTCACAACACAATAAGAGAAGAAAATCAACGAAGCATGCAACACCTTGGGCGTCAATAGAGAGACATGGAAAAGGAATCAAAGCCAGCGCGGCAAGACGATTAATTCTTCAGGCAAGCCGCTCACGTCTATGGAAAGCATCGATGCAGCTTACGCCGATGCTCACATCAAGTCGCCACTCGACGTCGATGTCGCCGAGTCGCCTCGGCTTCTGCCGCTGCAATGTCCGCGCCTGCCAAAGCTGTGGCATCTCGGTGCGAGCCTAGGGCGCCGCTGCTTCATATGCCGGTGACGATGTACGCTGACCACACGGCCATGTCCTTGCAGGCTGTTGTTGCAGGCAAATGCATGTATGCATGATTCATTGTGAGTAATTTCTCCGTATCCCCATTGATTCAGCGCATAGAAAAACAATCATGGATTTGACCATGAGAGGCTCAGCGCAAGGCTGACTATCCCTGCCAGAGATGTACCCTTAATTTGTTAACAACATGCTTTCAGTTAAGGCCATTGATTATCGATTAACCCTGATGTTATATATATGTCTATCTTTTTTTTTTTTCAGTCCGTATCCATCAGCCAAGCTAATTGCCTGGCTGAATCATATGGACGGACTAAGACAGACACATGGTGCATGTATAGGATCAAGATGTTGAAGGCTTAATCCAACAAGGTTAGTCCGTGCAATTTTTTTTTTAACTTCATACTTTGTTTAAAAAAGATTATTGGCAAATGCTAACATCGATCACATAGATAGATCGAGCCATACAAAGCCACCTCAAAACATGGAGATTAAGTTAGCAATACTGAATCTTATGATAGTGCACCAAGTGTTTATTTGATTTTGACTCGGTTATAATAGTTTATATATGAGTCTGCCTATTTTTCAGTCACTCCAAAATGTACATAAATTTCAAGCACTTTGAATGGCCTAGGCCACGCCAATATTCATGCAGCTGAAGTATACTCATCATATCTTCTACTCTTCCTTTCACACTAACAACATACTCGCATTTTTGCCCATGCTGCTGCTGCTGCTCTCCTCTAATTTAGGGCGATCGGAATATAGCAATAATCTTTTCATATTTTTCTTTTACGGATTCAACATACTTGAATTTTCTACATGCAACTAGAATAATTATTGTTTGCATTAGTTTTTTATCCTTCAACACAAAAATAAAACATTGAATTAAGGCCGACTTCCACAACAGCAGCTAATTAATGCATCTAAATAAGGATTAAAAGATATATATTAAGTATAAATAATATAGTATTTTCTAACATTATTTTAATATGCTTGCAAAAAATATGTCTAAAACTTTAACTGTTGGACCAATAGTTTGCTATTGAACTTCTTTGACAAAGTAATTTAAGTAATGAAATACTAAATAAAGTATTTAAAATTGTGAAATAAAGTTCATTCTAATCCCTTTTTGGAATTTATAAATATAGAGAATTTCGAATTGTGAAAGTTTTGCTCTTGACACAACAAAATATAACTGCAAGTTAAAACGCATATGTATGTATATGACCTAAGGAATGTAATGATCATCCATATGTGTATCATGAATTTGTGTTAAATAAAACATGAAACTGAAAATACCATGGATTGTTTAGTTTTTAGTTTGTATAAATTGTTATAATTTTAAAATTCAAAATTAATAAATACTAAGTTGGACAAATCGCAAACTCTCATTTAGTATTTTTAATAATTTCATTTTATAACATCAAATTAGTAATGATCAAGCAACTGTAATTTTGTAAGTAACCAACTATTTAGCGTGTGATTAAAAATTTTATCATTTATTCTATCAATAATATGAGCCCGTGCAACGCACGGGTTGGCGACTAGTCAATTTAAATCGAGCACAAGCATTAAAGAATCCCTGGAAATTCCTTTTTCCCTTTTTCTTTTTCATTTTCCTCCTTTTTTACTTCTTCTTGGGCCTTCGGCCCATTTCCCTCCAGCGCCCATTCGCTGGGCTGGCCTCAGGCCGAGGCCCAACAGCCCGCGCGCCCCTCCTCTGTCTCCTGGGGTTGCTGACAGGTGGGGCCCACCTGTCGGGTCCTCCCCCAACCTCCGGAGGCCGCCACCGCCTCCCACAACTGCCGCTCCCGCTGTTCTAGGGCCACGTCCAGCCTCCACCGCACCACAATGGCCTCGCCCCGCGCACGCCACCCACTCCCCGCACCCCACTACCCCCTCTCCGGCCCACGCCTGCGCTGGAAACGGCCAGGATTCAATTTTTGAATCCCACCTCTCTCTCTCCTCCCGTACCTCCCCCACTTTGCCGGTGAATCCGCGCCACTCCCGGCCGTTCCTGACCTCCCGCCCCTATATAAATGGACCCCTCCTCCTCCTCTCCCTTTTTCCTTTTTCCGCTGATCGCTCTCGTGCCTTCCTCCGCTCTAGCGCCGTCGCACCCACTTACTGCCACTTTTCCTACACTCCGGTTGCCGCTAGCCGCTGCTAGCCGTCGCGTCGGGCCGTGCCGTCGATGCCGTCGGATTCGCAAGCCCGAGGGCCACATAGTCCACCCCTCCGCCGTCAAATTTCGTCGCCGGAGCCCACTCCCCTCACGTCGGTGAGCTCTCCATGGCCGCCGCCTTTGGTCGGCACACCCTAGCTTACCACGGACCTCTAATCTCCCTCTAGCCCCTCTCATTGTGTTCCCTAGGTGTCACGCCCGGAAATATACACCATTTCCAAACGCTCAGTGCATTAATCCTCGTCCCAGGAGGCGAGGTACACATAGCATTGTTGATTATTTGCGGAAACGTAAAGGAAGTACTTTATTTCATGGGCGACTCTAGGTCCTCACGCTCAAAGATAAACAAATAAAATAGCGGAAGACTACGGAACAGCAGCAGCCACAGGCACTCGACGGCGGAGCGAACTAGAGATCCAAGCCTTCATCTTTCTCAGGTCCATCCTCTGGATTATTTTTGTGAGCAAGAGTGAGTACCACCACCGTACTCAACAAGTCACACCGGAAATGCAATAATAATGCATAGGGAAAACAAGAAAAATGGCCTAATAGGGTTTATTTTGCAGAAAGCCATAGTTTAAACATTTTAATCAGGTTAAAGCTCATTTTAAAACACGATCCTGTTCTAAGCCAATATTTTAATATCATCAAGGTCTCATGAGCCAACGAACCTGCCTTAACCCAGGCTAATCACCACATGACTACATCATCATGATTTCACCCTCCCAAGGTTTTGTAAAACAAAAGTAACTTTGGGTGCGGCTATTCGAATAGTTTTTAACTCTGATCAGAGGTGTACAACTTTACCCACAAGACACAACCTCAACACGCGTTGCCACGCGCCGGGTACCACCACGGTACTCGGATAGAGGTCGTGACAAGACTATCCATCTAGGTCTACCCAAAACAGGAGAACCTGCTGAGGTTTCGCCGCCCGCCGGTCCCCGACAAGGTAAAGGTTGCCGGATCCCCCGGGATGAGACAGGCCCCCCCTTGCGCCCGGTGAAAAAACGGCCTTAATCTTGGCCCCACACCCTTCCAACCAATGGTCTTTGTTTTGAGAAGATCTAAACTTCCAGTCAGGTCTTACCCACTAGACTTGTGGTTGCACGAAGATGCCTTGCAACAGAGGCCCAAAGACCGGTTCTTATATTAGCCGGGGTGCGACTACCAAAGTAATCAGCTTGCACCCCGAGCCCAGCCCAAAAAGATGTTTTAGTTGCACAAAGAATTTTATCACCCATCTATTGACAAACCAGTCAATAGTCCAATACTAATCCAGTTTTAGTTGTTAACCACCATAGTCTAGTTTATCCAAAAGTTCTAAGTTGGAACTAAGCAGGACTAAGCATTTACCTAAAGCAACTAGTCAGTCCATCATGTAGGGCACTAGACTAGTCAAGTTATAATTTTACTAGGGTTCACAACAATCATGGATATGAAATCAATAACATGGCCATAACAAAGAGCATAGGAATAACCAATAAAACAATATTAATAATGAACATTATAATTTATAAAGCAATGCAATATAAGTAAAACAACATAATTTTCACAATATGGGATTCAACATGTTCAAGATAGATATGACTTGCCTTGATCGCTCACAAAGTCTTCGGCGTCAACGGCGATGAAGAGCTGATCTTCTGGAACGGCAGGATCTACACGACCAACGCGAAGAAATAAAAAAGGCTAATAAAAACCATATGAACAGAAGCAATAAGGCACATCAATGGGATCTACTCATTTTTAGGAGAAATTAGAGATTTGAACAGGTTAATTCGGAGTTCAAACGGTTAAGATATGGCCATTTGAAGTTTAGGTGCTGTTTAAATGGAAATTTGCAATTTTGTGAATTATTTTTCTAAAGGAAATTGATTTATTGCACAGAGAAGAGAGAGAGGGGGTCCACGGGCGGGTCCCATTTGGCAGCCGCTCGGTACACCATGAGGGCGGCTCACGGCGCACAAGCACGGCCAGGAAGGAGAAGCACCCGAGCCAGGCGGCACGCCGGCAACGGCCAACGGCGTGGCGATGGTGCAACGGAGCACGGGAAGAGGAAAAACGGAAAAGGGAGGAGGTGACGGTTCTCACCGAGCAGACGCGGCGGCGAGAGGTCGGCGGTGTTGCTGGCGGTGAGGAAGAAACGGCGAGAAGCTTCGGGTCGTCGTTGTCGTCATCGTTCCCGCGGTCCTCGTGCTCGACGGAGGGGAGGACGGGGAAGAGAAGGAAGCGGCGAAGCAGATGGTGGCGACGCTGGGCTCCAATGAGGTTCCGACCACCGGCGAGGGGCGGCCGGAGTTGCGACGGCGGCGGCACAAGAAGAGAGCGGCGCGGAGAGAGGAGAGGGAGAGGGCGGCGGTGTGAGGGGAGAGAGGAGGGAGTCGGGGGTACCTTTTATAGGCTGGAGGGGAGGGAGAGAGACGCCGGGTAGGGCGATCGACAGCCCCATCGTTTGGCCTAAACAGTAAAAGAATAAGCCAAAATTTGAATTTTTAAACTTGACTTTGAAGTTGATTTTGAAATTCTTTTAACGTAATTTTGGTTAATGTTGGCTTTTAAGTTGCTACGAACAAATCTACAAAAGTTTTACTTATAAATTAATTTTAATTTTCTAATAAGCCAAATAAGCTATTTTGGGCCAAATGGGCAACCGATGGGAGCCCGACGCAGGCCATGGTGGAGCTCACCATTAAAGAACATCATCAAAATCCACCACGAATAAACGGGGATTGAGTGGAAAATTATGGGGGTATTGGAGAGGATAAGGCGGGAATTAATTCCCCTCAATTAATTTGATGAAACGGCGAGTGGAGGAGGCGAATCGGAGGTGGACATGTGGTAGATTCGGCCGGAGAGGAGAGAGAGGGCTGGAGGTTAGGGATGACGGGTGGGACCCACCTGTCATCGAGTGGAACACCCCTGTCTCTGAGTCCGAGGGAGAGAGAGCAGCTGGGCCGGCCCAAGGATTGGGAGGGGGAGGGGAGAGAGGGAAGGAGAGGGGGCGGCTGGGCTGGGCCAAGAGAGGGAGAGATGGGCTGGAAACAACCCAACAGGAGGAAGAGGATTTCTTTTAGCTTTTCCATTTTATAAAATTCTTTAATTGTTTTGTTGCCTTAAAATTATTTAGGATGCTCTGAAAATTCAAGTAAAAATTGGTTAAACATTTTGAGATATGGGGAATTTATTAATAATACCCACAAGCCAATTTGATATAAATCTTGGTGAATTTTAATTGTTGGAGGCTCTTTTAGGCTTTTAAAATTTCTAGAAATTCATTAAAACATGATTTAAATTTAGAGCGATTTTCAGGGCGTTACACTAGGTCTCTCCTGACGTCGTCCGCTGTTCGCCGACCTCCCTCCGTCACTCACCATCCTTGTTTGTGATCGGTGAGGCCCTCCCCTTCCTCTCCTCTCTCTTTGTCGCTCCGCCGCTAGCCGCTTGCGCGTTGCCGTCGCATCGCGGTGCCATGTCGCCATGGTGCCACCGCTAGCCGCGGTGCCGTCGCGCGCCATCCCTTGCCGCTGGTTGCCGCTGCCCGCTCCGCACTAGCGCCGTCGTGCGCCATGCCCACCGGGCTGGCTCAAGCCATGCCCGTGCATCGCCATGCGTTCCCAGCCATCCGATCTACCACTCGGTAGATCGGGGCCATTCGGCTGCCGCCCACGAGGCCATCCACGTGGCCGCCACGTCGACGCCACGTGGTGCTCCCATCCCCGGTTCCGTGGACTTGGTTCACCATGAGCCTATGACCTATGAGCCTGACATGTGGGGCCCACCTGTCAGCGCCACCCCTCTCCGATGACATCATCCAGGACCTTTATTGCGCAATAAATCGATTAAGGCTTTTTTTGTTTATAGTAAAAACACAGATAACCTTCTAAAATTCATTGACAATTCATTCGTGCTCCATTTAAGCCCATTCAAGTCTCAGTAAATCAAAAAAAAAGCGAAGAATCCATTAAAAATGGTTTTGTTATCTGTTTTAGTAGTCTTATAACCTATTTGTATTGTTTGCCTTGTATGTCACATAGATTTCGGCTCTCCCAACGCTCCGGTGTATTTCAAGATAGTCGCCAAGGTCCCTCTAGCCGCAGAGCAAGGCAAGTCATCCTTGTCACTTGAATATATTGATCCCATATTGCAAATGCTCTATGTTTTCCTTTAAGTTATGCATTGTTTTATAATGTTACTAAATGGGATGTTGTACCTACTGTTCTCAGCCCTATTATTTTTGTACCTTATTCCTTTGTAAACTTGGGATGTAACATGACTAGATGTTGGATTAGGAATTGCTTAGCCATGCTTAGTTCAACTACCCTAGCTGTTCCTGGATAGTGGTTTAATGCACGTTCTGCTTGGAATTCTGGTTTGTGAATTTTTGGGGCATGGTGTGACATAGAAAATTATTTTTTCTCATCAAGTCTATGGTAACTAGGCTGATGGTCTGAACAGAATTGAGCAGTCCAGGTAGCCAAGCCACTCTCCAACTAGCAGTTGAGGTAGTCAGATTGCCAGGATCATAGTTTTTTTGGGATTAGTTTTCTAACTTCATAGACTACGCAGTAATACGTTTAGATTTTAGTTTAGGCAGCCAATCACTACTCTTTAGTTATCATAGATTAGCAGTTTCTTTCCCAAAAAGAAAGAGAGCCATGCATGGCATTTTCATAACCATAATTAAAGATAAGAAGCTTAGACCTGGGAGCCTTTCTCAAAATAGGTGCAAAAATTGCAGACATAATGGATGGCCTGCATAATGCCCGTAGCCCCATGCACAATTCCACTCTCAACCGCAAAAACCACGTAGTTTCCTATTTTCCCTGACTCTCCCAGCGAACAATTGCTGACTTCTTCCACTAGATGTTTCCTGTTCATGGCTCCCCGCATTTTTTGGCTCCATGTTCGTACCCCATTTCATATTAAAACTCATAGAACAGTCCACTGCGATGGATGAGGACCAGATGACGAACCAAGAATTACTGTTTAAAGCTTCATAAAAACATAAAGGAAAAGAATGGTACATACTTTGCTGAAGAGATGGCTCCTTTGTTTCTATCAGCAATCCTTTCGGCCCTATTGGTAGCATCCTCTACTCGTGGTACCGTGGCCATTGGGTTATTCCAGGTGCGCCGCAAATTCTCTATCATGGGCGGTGGGTGTAAGGGGAGTGACATAGGTGCATTACAAACCCACGATAGGAACCGCCATCTTAGTCGCCTTGTGGCTGCGGACTTCTCACTTGGTGGCCTTGGTGGCATCAGCACATCCAGCACAGGGTATATGCTTCAATGTTCCTTTGGTTCTATCCATTTCTTCTTGGTAGGTTGGCTTATTACGATCTGATAGAGTTTGACACAGACTATACTACACGGAGATAGGGATTGGGACACCCGCAATGGAATACTATGTGCAGGTGGACACTGGCAGCAGTGCATTTTGGGTTAACTGCATCCCCTGCAAGCAATGCCCTCGCAAGAGCGATATATTGGTAGGTTTAGAGTTTATTTTTCAGTACCTTGCAAAAATTCTTTTTGCCATTTAGGGTTTTGTACATTATAGATGTGAAATTCTGAATGATAATATGGTTTGTCGTACATCTTCTTGTGTGCAGAAAAAGCTGACATTATATGACCCTAGGAGCTCAGTAAGTTAAAAAGTGGTGAAATGTGATGATATGTTCTGCACTTCGCCCGATAGGGATGTGCAGCCAGAATGCAACACAAGCTTACTTTGTCCATTCATCGCGACCTATGCTGATGGTGGATCAACAATAGGCGCCTTTGTCACTGATCTTGTGCACTATAATCAACTCTCTGGGAATGGGCTGACTCAATCAACTAACACCAGCCTCACATTCGGGTGAGTTGTGTCCATTGAAGAAATTTTTGTATGTGAAATTTTTTGAATTAGAACTGAAGTGTACGATTGTAAAATACCGTTGATAGACAATAGTTCAACAACATGCCATCTTACGTGCAATAATACTCTTTCTTTTTTGCCATCACATCAGGTAAACGTGAAATTATGTCTGTAGTTTTTACAAAATGACCAAAATATCATTTAGAACTCAGTTATACTTATTTTTGTTTATTAAATTTGTATTTCATATTGATCTATCATATTAATTTTTTCAAATTATTTGATAGCTATTTTAGTGATATGAAAAACAAGGGGATGTTACTTAAGGTATGAAAATAGTTTACCGAATATAATCCAGTCACCAAAAACAAAGTTTGGCTGCGGCAGTACTGCCCACTACTTCCTCCATTCCAAATTGATCAACATATTTCATAGGTACACCAAAATCAAGAAAAACTAATAACTCTCTAATACTATATTTACTCTAGCAACAAACTCGATACATGCACCATCCCCACTATTTCCTAGCCAATAGCAAATCAAGATATTACATGTGTGCTATAAATACTTGTGTGCATGGATGCATGCATCAATGTTCATTTACTCCAATGCACAAATAACGAATAGACCTAATAAATTAACACAAATATGTAGATCATTAAAAACTATATGTAGATCAATTTGGAATTGAGGGAGTATTAGAGAAACGATTTTCCTGGACGAGGAGCTACTTAGTTTACAGACAGGCCGTTTTCACGTCCGCACGCAAAAATTGGCCTCCCATTTTCGTGTGCGGACCCTTAAGAGGCCCGCACGAGAAAATTGATTTTCGCAAGGGGCCTCGTAAGGGTGCGCACAAAAAAATAAGCCTATTTTCGCCTATGGGCCTCTTAAAATGCCCGCACGCGAAAATCGATTTTCACATGCGGGCCTCTTAAAAACCTGCCTACAAGTCTATCCTTCCTCCTCTTTTCCCTCCTCAACACTTCAAAATTTCATCTCATCCACCCATCCTCATCCTTATCCTTTCTACGCTCTCTCTCACTCTCTCATCTCTCTATCCTCTCTAACTCTCTTACCTCTCACTCCCGGGCGTGGACGGTGCGGGCGTAGCCGGCGGCACCACGCGGCTCGGCAGCGTGCATGCAGCGGCGGGCGACCAAGAGCGGCGGGCTCGACGGCACAGGCGCGTAGCGGCAGTGGACTAGGAGAGGCGGGCTCGCGGTGGCGGGCAACAGGGAACAGCGGGCTCTCAGCGGCGGATGACCGTGCCCCACCCAGATCCGGCGGAGGCGGCTGCCCCCCTTCCTAACACTCAAAAGAAAACAAACACATGCACTTACATCCCACCACTGATGTAAATCACATGCGAGACACACACAACCAAACTTAAAACAAGCAAGCTAACACAACGATCGAAGACAACGACTTAACAAGTCACTCTAGTTCTTCCGAGCATCGGAGGTCGATTGAAGGCTCGTTCGGCTCGTCTTCATCATCTTGGGTAGCTACCCACTCAATCTTGGAATGGTTGCGCTTGGATCCTTCTTCTTCATCATCACTTATGATGGTGACCGGGGAATCTGCTAGGGTTGGGGCAACTTCTTTCTCCACCACACGGACCTTTGGCGCCAATTGATAGCGAGGGACAAATAGAGCTCTCTTCCTTGCGGTGAGACGAATCCTGGCCTTCTGCGGCGGTGCTTCTCCCTTCAACGCGGCTAGTTCCTTCTCCAAACGATCCACCTTGTCTTCTAGCTTGCAAATCTTACCACGATTCCGGTCTTCACGATCTTGAGCTGCTAACACAGTCTCCGCACGACTTTCATCCATAGCCCACAGCATCTCAACCAAATGTCTTGTAGTAGCATCATTCTCAATTCCTTCAGTCTCAAGGTAGCTGCCACGGTCACTTCCCTGGGGTTGGCGAGGATGGTAACGATACTCAGTGTCGGCCAACTGATCACTGTAGCGATCACGGAGCTCTCCTATGGCGATCCTTGCCACCTCCTGACATGCATGGATGTAGTTTCTTCCTCTAGCTTCGAACATCACTGAGGGGATATCTTCACTATTACTGTTCAAGGTGACTTTGACTTGGCACTTCTCTTCATGACGATCATGAGGAATCTGGGCATAAAAAGGGGCAGTCCCAAATCCAATGACAAAGGACATCGTACGCGACTCCTGGACAAAACCCTCAACATCAAACAAGTACTCAGGCTTGTAGCGCGGCATCTAAAGACAAGTGAAAGGAGGGAGTTAAGACATTTATCCAATTAATAGCACAAGTTTTTGGATTGATTTGAATAAAGTTTAGAAAATCAAAGTAAAAAGGTAAGTAAATAAAGTAAACCAAGCTTTGCAAGATAAGTTGAAACAGTTGGAAACAAGGTTACAAATTTTGTACTTTTGAACATCAGGTTTCAAAAGAAATAAAAGAAAATTATAAAATCAACTTGCTAAATTTATTTTGTTGCAGCAAGATTAAATAAAACAACATTGTAAAACTTTTGCTGGAAAATGAGCCATTAATATAGTAATAGATGTACAGTACTAATAACACTGGAATAAATTTTGAATGAGAACCATTAAAAGAGATTATGAAGTGCATGTGCCATTAGTTTGGTTTAATTAAAAGAGAAAGGGAGGAGAACAGTTCTACTTTTCCAATATTTTTAGAGGGCTTCTATGGGTAACCATTTGGCATAACCTAGGGTCAAGGGGGCTCTGATACCAACTTGTCACGCCCGGAATTTCTATCCAAAATTCCAAACGCTTACATGTGTGTGAACCCTCGTCCAGGAATCAGCCGAGGTACACAATAACAAATTGATAATAGAGTACAATTATTACTCTAATTAATAAACGAATAAAATGTCATTACAGAGGTAGATAGTTCATCTCAATCAATAAAGATCTAAGCAGCGGAAAAATAAAATAAACGGCGCAGACGGCTCCACTCCACAGGCAGCTTGACCAAGGCTACACCTAATCCTCCACACCATCAGCCTCATTGTAGAACTCTTCCTCTGATGAATGATTGCAAGGTGAGTATATGACATACTCAGCAAGCCACGCAGCAAATATGCAAGTGCACAGGATAACAAAGGATGGCATAGTAGGGTTTCATTTGCAAAAGCAACATTTAGCAAACATTTGAGAATTTAATAAAACAGTTAAGTAATTAAACAATATTAATCCAACGCTATACAACATACCCTGTTGTATAGGCCCAACCATTCTGAACAACCATCCCGGCTGCACAGTTCTATCTCCAAACCAGGAATATACCATTCCAAACCAGGAGCTAATCAAATTATTACCAGTTATAGCATCTTCTATTATGGTGAGAAGTGTGAGACTAATCACGAAAGACATTGTTTGACCGCCCATAACCGCGGGCACGGCTATTCGAATAGTTTTACTCTGATCAGAGGTGTACCACTGTACCCACAAGACACAACCCCTCATCATGTCACCATGTGCCTCAATACCACCACGGTACCTCGGAAAGGAGTTGTGACAATACCCCTTGCATAACACAATCCACCGCAGCGCACCTTCCTGGATCATAATCACCCCCTTATAAACAAGGCATGGACTCCCCAGCGACCCCGGTGGGCTTATCTCCGCCACTTCTCAGTCTGGTGCCCCGCAATGAAACATGCTATACAAAAGATAAAGCCGTTGCCCATGCTGGCTTGTGGTTGGCACGGTTAATGTTTCACAACCGAAACTCGTGAACTGGTCCTTAATTGTCATGAGCACGACCATCAAAACCATGTGCTCACAACCCACCATTACCAGGTTTTAGTTGGCACATTAATTAATTAACCAATCACGATTGACCATCGTGAACTATCATTAAGCCATCATTAAGCAATAGTGAGTCATAATTTATCCCAGAAGTGAGCTAATGTTTCTAAGCAGGGCTAAGCAATTATATCTAATATCTAGTTGAACCAATATAAATAAAGCTCAACTAGTCAAATTATAATAACCCAAGGTATCAAGGAATAAGGTAATCAAGAACAAAAGGGCTATAACAAACAATAGGTTAATTCCACCCAATGACATTCGAAAACAAATGCAATATTTGAATAGAAACAATAGCTTTAAATAGGATCAACATGCTCAAAGGGTTGTTTGGGATCTGTGTGACTTGCCTTGCTGGCCTTGGAACTCTTCAAACTCTTCTCCTGCGAAAACGGACTCTCCGGAAACGACGGAATCTAAACAAAAAGAAGCAAAATCACCAAAACAGCACATAAACAAGCTTGAACAGTACATGTGGATATTTTTAACATGTAGATCTCAATTTTAGAAAAATTTAGAGACTTGAACCAACTAAAACGGAGCTAAGATGAATTAGTTATGAATTTTTGAAGATTAAATCGGATTAAAACACTTAAATTGATTTTAATTGAATTATGACGCAATAATGAATTATTTTTGAAAAGGAAAAGGAGGATTATTACGTCAGCGGGCTAGGGTTTCGGTGGACCGGGCGCACGGCGGCGGTTCACACGAACGGACGGCCGAGATCAATCGATCCAAAACGGACGGCCGAGATCGATCGGTCCACGACCGGCTCACAGCGAACGGCCCCGATGACGTCAGCGATGACGTCACCACCGGCGGTGGCGGTTCGGCGGCTCGGACGCACAAGCCCGCCGGCGAACGGCGGCGCTTCGGCACGAACGGAGGGCACCAACGAGTAGCGGACGGCACGGCGGACTCACTGGCGACCAAAGCGACGGCGGAAGATCAACGGACGGCGACGGCGACGAAGAAGAAGCGGCGGCGCTCTTCGGCTTGACGACGGCGACGGTGCTCCGGCGGTCTCCGGCGGCGGCGAAGGGGCGGACGAAGACGGCGACGCTACGGCGACCAAGACGGTGGCCTTCCCGAGCGATGACGACGACGGGAACGACGGCGGCGCACGGCTGGAGCGACGGCGGCGACGGCGGCTCGAGGTCTCACGGCGCTAGGGCGTTTCCGGCGACGAGAGGCGAAGGCGAGGGTGGCGACGAGTAGAGGAGACACCGGGGGGTCCTTTTAAAGGGACTCGGAGGCGACGGCGAAGGCCCACGGCGGCCGGCGACGAGAAGGAAACTTCGGGAAAAACGAATCCGAATCCAACT